ACTGAGATAAAGTTTTTTGTTAAATAATAATTTTATTTCTCATAAACATAGGTGTCAAAACTATTGGCACCCCTAAAGATTTTTATAAATACAATCAAAATAAATTCTGCGTTAACATTACCTTTTCATGTTCATCTCAGACTTAAGGAACTATATTGTGGTCTTTCATGGCTTCCTGTTTCACTGGGGTATAGAAATTAAGTAACACATACAAATTCCTTTATTTATATCATCCAATAACATAGGGAAAGGAAAATAACTCACAAATGAAAAGAGGCGAATGGTTGTTGACTTTCACAAATCAGCATATAAAATAAAATAGTAAGTAATAGGTTTATTCCATGCTGAAAAGAGAAGAGAGAAAATGTTTCAGCTGTAGACTCTTCTTCGGGTGTCACACTTCTAAGGGGTGTCACACACAAAGAAGGCTCCACAGCCGAAATGTTGTGTTTTCTTTCTTCTCTTTTCAGCATGGAATAAACCTGTTACCTGTTCCTTTGCAGCCGACGCATGCTGACGCAGCTACCCACCTGAACTAAAATAGGAAGTATATCTCTTACCACTTACCACTATTCGATTTTAAAACCACTGAAACAGTGCTGAACTTGTCTGGTAGAACACATACAGTAAGTGTACTATATTAGGATTTAAGATTTTTTTTAAAGAAAAAAATTGAGAGGAAGCAATATGTAAGCTCCTGGAGCATTGGCACTTAGATTGGAACCGAGTGCTATGGTCAGATGAGACAAAAATAGAGTATTGTACCTCGGCTACTCATGCTAACGGTGAGTTTGGTGTCAAAAGTACAATGCAGATGCAGAACGGAACATTACCAGGACATTGTGGCCAAAAACCAGCAAGATAATGATCCCCAAAAGCACCTCAATATCTGCAAAGAAATGGTTAATCCAAACCATTTAATATTTAAAATAGTTTTATAAGTGTAATGCTGAGAATGGCCCTGTACACTTTATAGCCTTTACCAAAGCTCCCCAAAGAGGTATCTGATTTAGTTTTTGACATGTTTATAAAGCATTATTCTGATGGATTTTTTTGTTCTGCTTTTTTTGCTAAATGTGCCTCCTTTGACTTAAAAAAAACTTACATTTTATTTTTCTGTTTGTTCTGATTCTGGGGTACATACTGGTCTATTCCCTCAAGCTATCATGATCATCTCTCTTCTAGTATTAAATTGAATTCTCTCTCTGCTACATTGCAACATTATGAAAATGGTCTTGGTCTTGAAAAATGATACTCGTCATGCAACAGATAGATGCATCTCTGCTTCTTCCCATTAGGGGTCACTCTAACACTCTCAATTGTAATAGGTATATGGTGCAATCATAAATTTGAAGAAACGGGGTGAAGGGTGGGGAATATGGATGATACCCCTTCTTTCTTTTTCACGTTAATAACGGACACTAATACAGTAGCAGCTGAATTTTTATAACAGCAAATGCTATTATAAACATCAATGAAAAGAGCAATGTGAAAACAAGGCCATAATCCTTTTCATTGGCACATAAAAAATAATGCAATGAAACCTTTTAGTTTCTGCATTAATTCTCACTTGCCTCTATGCCCAAGAGGCACAAAAGAAATCTCAGACCTGCTTTTCCCCAGACCTCCCGAACCCGCCAAAGGATTCATTAGAGTGTAGAAAACATCAGAACAGTTATAAACGAGAAGAGGCCATTCAACTAATTTGCAGTGGGTATAGAAAGTCAACACCCCCTTTCAAAATATGTACCTTTTGTTGTATGACACTCTGAAAATAAAAACAAACTAAATTAGGCTTGTTCCATCTTTATTTACGCACAGTAACCCACATTAGCCAAGTGAAAATAACATTCTAAAACATTCTGAAAATGAATTAATTTTACAACAGTAAAACACCTTGTTTGGATAAGTGAACACCCCCCTTACAATTGCATTTGTAAACCTTCTCAGGTATAACCAATAACCTTACAGATCACACAACAAACTAATTGGCTCCCTGTGGTCAATTGTCGTGATTTTGATTAGTTCAGGACAAAAGTAGTGTTTTCTAGAGGATTCCACTGCTTGGAAGTGCATTTCAAAGCAAAGAAGCCACTATTGGCGGAAAGGTGCTTTCAGAAAAAACTTTGAGATAAAGCTGTGGAAAGGAGTCAGGAGATGGGTATAAAACGGTTTCAAAGGCTTTATGTATCCCATGGAGCACAGTCAAGACCATCATTAAGAAGTGGAACAAATTTCCACAAATCTGGCTTGTATGGGAGGGTGCCAAGAAAAAAGCCACATCAAGTCTTGTTTATGTTTTGCTAAAAAGCACCTTAAAGACCTAAAAGCACCTCAATTTTTTTGGCCAGTATGCAAAACGTATGTCTGGTGAAAACCCAATACATCTTACCATCCAAAGAACACCATTCCTACAGTAAAGCACGGTGGTGGCAGCATCCTGCTGTGGGGGTGTTTCTCTTCAGGTGGGACTGGAGCACTTGTCAGGATAGAAGGGAAGATGAATGATTCAAAATTCAGGCAAATTCTTGAAGCAAACCTGCAGCCCTCAGCCAGGAAGTGGAAAATGGGAAGATGGTTCACCTTTCAGAATTACAACATTTAGAGGTTATTTTAACGTTAATGATTTTCAAGATCATAATATACTTGCAGCCTATGGGAACTCTTAGTTCATTAGATAGTAAAGCTTTATTAATTTGACTCTAGACATAATATTCAGCTTGGATATTATGAATATTAGTGTGATTAATTCTAATACGACAAGATTCTGATACAGCCCACGCCTGGCTCTGAGTGCAACGTTAACAAGGGAAATAATACAGGATGCAGGATGTCAAGCAGATGACAGAACAGCAAGAATGATCATGATTTTTTTCCACCCTTTGGTCTACCAGTTGTGAGACAGCCGTGGTTCATGCGTTTTGAGTGATAGCAAAAAGAATGAGGGTCATATTTGATTGCTCAATGAGACGGACTAGTTCTTGCTTAAATAATACCACATTTAGTTAAGAGCGGCTGCTTCCCATTTTCCCCTGTCCAAGTTAGAGAACTGTAAGCATAGCCACTGCTATGATATTACATCCAAATACTGAGATATACTGTACTGTAACTAAAGGTTTTCTGTACCTTTAGCAATGAAAGACAAAGGTAGAATTGTGAAGAAAATACATTTAATACTTAAATACATAAGATTCCTTCCTGTATAAAACTGACAGTAGAACACTATTACCAGTTTACAAATCATCACCAAACTTCTCATTAATGAAATACAGACTGCATATATTCTCACATTTGCACTTTTAATTGAACAGATTAAACAGGTGCCACTTTTAATAGCTCTTTTATTAATTCACCATTAATGCTCATAACACACTGTCAAATCCTTTCAGACAATTCAGATTTCATACATTGTTCGTTACCAGTGGCTCTGCCACCAGATCTGAACATTGAGTAGATGGTGCTGGTCTTCAATATTGGGAATGAAGTGGTCTTAACCCCATGAGAGTTCTAGCTAACAGCCATTCTGATCTGACATTTGCTGAGTCTAACCCTGGAGATACAGTAGATCTATAAATTAAATTGGCAATTAGATTCCATGGTAACGCAGGACAAGGTGGAATGGCGGTGCAGTGGTCAGCGTTGCTGTCTCACAGCGCTGGGGCCGTGGGTTCAAGTCCAGACCTGGGATGCTGTCTGTGTGAAGTTGGTACTGTATGTTTGTGTGGGTTTCCTCCTGCAGTCCAAAAACCTACTGGTAGGTTAGTTGAGTTCTGGGAAAATGTCACTAGGTGTGAGTGTGTAGGTGTTGGTCTGTCTCCCATGTGATGGACTGGGTTTACCCCGCCTCCAAGCCAGGATAGACTCTGGATCTCCTGGGACCCATAATAGGAAGAAGAGATTAGAAAATGGATGGATGGACACAGGACAAATGCATACACGACAAATGAACATCATTCAATGCTGACGTAATATTCAGATGGAATTCAATGTGGATGTACAGTAATATTCAGACTTGGGTAAGAATTTGCCCTCTATGAATATTAATGATTTCTTAAAGTAAGCTACTTATGGCATGGTTGAAAGAGATATTACCCTGAATTCCCAAAGTGCAAATTGAAAGACAACATGAAAACCAAAACAAAATGTACTGTATCTCCTCTGCTATAAAAATAAATGAATGTCAAGCTTCAGAGTCCAAATGCAAAAAAAGGTCTTCCTAGAATTCTGAGGCAGTGCATCATTATCAATTTATGAATTCTATTGTAATTAATCCACAGGAAGGCTGAATTATTAACAAAAAAACATTTTCACCTAATACCACCATTTCATTCTTTTCAATAACGGTCTTGCCATTAATGACATGGTTATCAGGACCATCGCATAAATATTGATTATTGACCATAAGCCAGCCTTGGTTCACTGTGATCCAGCTGATTAAAATACAGTATACTAATACCATGCCTAAACCATTAGAGTAACTTTAGCAACAACTTTACCCATTACCAGCAATATTAAAATGTCATTCATTATTTAGTATTGTTTCATTATTTAATATGAAACCCATTAATATCCATCTGTATAATGAAACTGAATATTTGGACTGGATATATACATCTATATACATGTCTTATAGGTGTATATACAATAAATTATACAGTACTTTATACCGTATCCACGGCTAATAATTTATTAAGCATCCATTTTCAAAAACCGCCTAATCCTTAGAGGGTTATTGAAAGAGCAAACCAGTCTCCACCAGGAGGCTCAAGGTGTAAGGCAATATGATTATTTTTTCAGATTCAATATAGCGATAGCTTTCACATAAAATGCCGTTTAGTACCGAGCATATAATTAAACATGCTACCAAAAATTAACAAACATATCCAGTTGTCTGCATTTTACTTAATCGATTAGTTTAAGATGAGTTTTAGTTCTTAATAAAAATATTTGTCTTAAGAAATCTGAGCCAATATTTTTATTTCTTTGCCCTTTAAGAGAAACTACTATTAGTAATAGGTCAGTGAAATCTCACGATGTTGGTACACGTAAATTGCATTCCTGAAAACGAGACAACACGAACAGATCACACGTTTGCACTCTCGAGCCCCAAGAAGGCTGAATTTGGTGGAATCTTGGAATGGGTGTCATCGGAAGACTACCCATATTAATTATGCATCAGCTCTCCACCGCTACTCTCGCAAAGTAACTGCGCCAGCTCAGCTACGGTAAATTGAGATGACTGATGTAAAGCAGAATCGCCATTACAAAATATTGTTGCGCTAGGATCACCGGAAAATTCTTTAGAGAGTACCTACTGTAGGACTACAATCGTACCATTCCGTATTATTGTAATTGGGAAAAGTAAACCATTCTGAAAGCTGTTTTTAATGTGAACGTTTGACGACTCAACGGCTCAGAAATATGCAAGGAAGAAGCGAGTTCCAGATTGTTGTTTACGCGCTATTTCTACTAAAGACTGTTGGTAAGTATTAAAAATTAAGAACGCGCGAAGGTGTAAAACATTTAATCGTGTTTCCGCGAGCTCGCATATGGCATTTATTTCGGATATACAGTAGGTGGTGTGTACAACCTTATTGATTGGTATCTCATCTCCGACCACAATTTTAAACTGGTTATTTTACCAAATGCAAAAAAACCCAGTGATTTAAAGCAGGTGTTACTTGATAGAAAAACATTTGCATTAATAATAGTAAAGTTTCAATTCATGCGCTGAAATACCTGCAGATTGTTGTCGCATTTTGAGGGTATACAGAATTCGCGGAGGCGGTGAATTTGATCTTTTGCATTTTAGGAACTGGTTTACGAAATTGAAGTTTTGTGTGAAACTGTGTTCGTGTATCTGTTTATTGCGAATCAATCGACCTGTCTGCATTCATTTATTTTAATTTTAATTGGCTTTAACGGTTTAGTATATGGTTTGTAATTTCGAGACGAAATGAAGGATATCCCGCCCAGTGTTAAAGCCACATCAGGAAGAAGCCACAGTTTGCGTATTTTGATTAATAGTAATGGTGATTGCAGTTGCCAATCAAATCCTTATTTCCAATCCGGTTCAAGTCCGTGGCTGTTGAGCATTTCAGAACCAAGGCCAGCGACCGTCTGTACACAGCACTGTCGCCGGGGAGAAAACGTGCTTAGCAGCTTCCTCAGAAGGAGAAAGGTTTCCAATTCAGTCATTTCAGTAGAAGTACCGTGTTTGTAGGTCTGGCAACCAATCAGTAAATCAATAAAACATGCACTTATTACCTAGGTACAATGTATATTATCGAAAGCAGGATTAAATACTAGGGTACATTATCGATATCGAAGAATAAACACCTCGTTAGACTAGATTGCTGTGTATTTAATGTAATTCATGCCCCGTTTCTGTTATCAACATGGACTAATTCTAGTCCGTCCTTAAAATGTATGAGGATATACTGTACCTTCTGTTAACAAACCCAGCTTTTAATAAACAAAATGCAACATTTTCCTTTTTTGTACAGCATTCAATCGTTAAAATATTTAAACAAATAGTAGGAGCTAAATCAGGTTAAACCACTATGATAATTAAAATAACAGAAATTGGTGACATTGGAAACATCTACATTGAGCCTCTTTATAATAGTGTATAATAGTATAATATTGTTCACAAATGGTACACAGTTGTAATATTATATCCCTATGTAAAATAATCCTCACAAACAGGATTTCTAATATCATAGTATATTAATATTTAGGTCACAGTTTTATTTCAGTTGGCATACATGTTTGGTTATGATCTTCTCCTAAATCCGACCATTTATGAGAGTAAGCAAATTGGAAAATTAGAGGGAATGTACAGTAGCATTGTGCATAAAACATACCCAACAGTTTGAGTTTAAAATAAGTCCTTGATGTCTGGAAACTAGTTATTATAGATTAATACGGATCAATCTATAATGGGTTAATGATTAGAGTGGATTAGAAAACTCTCTAGGCTAGAACCATATAAAGGTAGCATGTATGTAGCTATGAGTATTAGCTCAAAACATTTAAAATACTTAATGGAAAAATAATTTGTGGACATGATTGTTAAATGCAGTTATGTAAAATGTGGAATGTTTCAAATTAAATGTGTAAAATACCCTCAGAAAGTATCCTTGTATACTGTTTTTTCACTTGTATTTTTCACTTGTTATTTCTTTGAATAGGAAGGAAGGATGACTAAAACAGTAAATGTTGTAATATTGAAATGCCACATTTTTAAAAACAGTTCTGTGTCCAAATGCTTACAGTTTATTGCTTCCTATCTGTACATTTTCTATCTGAACGTATCTGTACGTTTTTGCAGGATTGATCATCAATATAACTACAGTTGCCTGAAAATAATTTATTATCTCAGTTCAAGTTCTCATCTGAGTCTGCATTCTCTGCATTATGACTGGGCTTTGCATATGATGCAGCTCACAGAGCCATAATACACAGAGGTATTGTGACTCTTAAGAAAGCCTTTTCATTGCTGCACCATTGAAAGCTCAAATCCTCTTTTTTAGCTGCCTGACCAAACAAACTACTAAGCAAACTTTGCTTAGATTGTTACCAAGACACAAACATGCCTGTTTTGACAATTGTGTATTCTGTTGTTTGATTGTCAGCAACAGAAAAAAAAAAAGTTTTGTTTTCAGAGTCTGACCTCCCTCCCATGGGTGTCAGGCAAGAGGTCATGTGGACTTGCTGTTATTTCCATGCAAGATGCTGAATGTAGAATACAAATGTGTGCCTTTGGAAAGCGCTTCTTGTCTTTTGTTTTGTTGCTTCACTGTGGTTCTTTAATAGAGTAGGTGCATTTAATCTGTACTGCATAATTTGCAAAAGGTAAGGCAGCTATTGTGTTCCCTGACTAGCTCTGTTAGTAGAGCATGAGACAGAATCTCAGGGTAGTGGGTT